GACTGGAAGTATTGTCACCTTGCACCAATTACAGCAATTCTGAACGAATGAGAGATATTGAAGTCATGTAATGGATGAATTTTGCTTGCCTCTACTGATTTCCGTTATATTTTCATTCCACTTGTGACTGTTTTAGGTTGTATAAGCACCAATAGCATTGTTTCTCTACTCACTTTAATCAAAGGCAAACACGGTTCTTTAGTAACTAACAGGGGAAGTTACTGCTAATTTTTCCTTTATTCATTAATTTATTCCTGCCATGGTGACAGGTCTGAGTTACTCCAGTTCCTTATAGCTTCTGTTGAGATGATTTGTGGTGGTAGGGATAAAAATCGGAAATACTTTTAGACATACGACTACTTGATGATCTTTTTTCCTCAATTCCTTGAATGGTATTGTAGTAGTTTCTTTGGAAGTGCAAACGTTCACTCATATTGCTTATGAATTTCGTTGATGTATGGTAAAAATATGGTAAAAATAGTCCGTTTGAAACTTTTATCCTTTAGTGTTGTTGTATGTAGTTACTGTCCTTGTGTTTTGATTTCCTTGCTTATTTGTGTTTCTATGCTTGTATAATGTAATAAATATATAATCTTTTGTAACATTATAATTGTTATGTCGTTCCCATTTGAAATTCAAATGTATACATATATTTACGTTTTATTATAATAGTTCTGCTTGATTTATCCCAGGAATAGGTGGTACATGAGAAAGGCCATCGAGTGAGTGTTGTGCTTCAATAATTAAGTTGAAATCAATCATGGTGAGCTTAAGAAGACGCAGACTCTTGGGGCTATGCTCTGGTAATAATCAGTTAAATTGTGCTATACAATATATGATGATTTCTTTTGTTGAATAGCCTATATTCTTCTTCTTATTTTATTTTATTTAAAAGCCCGTATCCTTCTTCTGCTCTTAGTAATTAGCTTGGTTATCCATTTTGAGTTTTAAGTTGTGTTATTGTAACCTGTCAGGGCTATGAGATAGATTTGCAGTTTGATGACTAAGAATCTAATTCAGTAGGTTCTTTGCTTATGCTTAAATGACACCAAATTCTTGGTCTTTGCAGGGGTAAGTCCTGTTCTAGATCCACTTCCTAGGCTTTGTGACAACGGAACCGTTCAAACTTTTACTTGGACAAATCCTGTCAGTGTGCATCCCATGCCTTCAAATGATGCAAATCAGCCAGATGGGGTAAGAATGGATTATCAGTCAGTCCATATTACAGGCATCAGATGGGCCACTTGTTTTCTTCGAAGGTTTTATTAGTGTGTTCAAGACACTTGTCAGGCAGGATTCCTAAGTTTTTAAATTTATATATGTATATATGTATGTATGGCAAGAGAATATTCCATATATACACACACATATATATATATATATATATATATATATATATATATATATATATATATATATATATATATATATATATATATATATATATATATATATATATATATATATATATATATATATATATATATATATATATATATATATATATATATATATATATATATATATATATATATATATATATATATATATATATATATATATATATATATATATATATATATATATATATATATATATATATATATATATATATATATATATATATATATATATATATATATATATATATATATATATATATATATATATATATATATATATATATATATATATATATATATATATATATATATATATATATATATATATATATATATATTTCAGAAAGAAAAATGTGTATGCTGCGTGTCTTGATAGCGTAATGTTGGTGTTTTATATGAAAGTAAGCTGAGAGGGGGAACCTTTGCCAAAAGGTAAGCTGATGTGGCAAACCATTTGAGATGTTAGTGCCCCCAGACCTTGTTTTGTGGCCAAGTATGCTCTTAATTCCTAGTTTCTTGATCTAGAAGGTTATACAGCAGCGTGTTCTTGTACAAATATTTATTTTGAAGGATTTAATCAGCCAAAAAAAGAAAAAGCAAAACCATAAGTACGAAACCAAAAACTCTATTTTGGAAGAAGCCACTAGAGATTCTAGATTCCTTGTCAATTATTTCTTGCCTTTTCTGGTTAGTTTAATTGGCATGCCATACTCAGATATAATCCAAACTTAATTCTTCTTAACCTATTCTAAAACTCAGGTGTCTAACAGCATAAGTTTCCATGCTTTATTAATATGTAAAATAGCTATTACAGTGTATATTCCAAAATGTATTATTCGCTATACGTGTCTACGTATGTTCATTTTAGCTGATTCTTTATTTATTACCAGAATGCCAGTGTGAAAGTAGAAGCTCGGTCACCAACTGCATCTGGTTCTAGCTTATCCAAAGAGCAGCATGATCAGCAAGTTGCAGGTTTGTTATTTAAATTAAATTTGTTATCATTTTGTAACCCAAAAAAATTTGCTATTGTTTCTAGTGATGTATTAGATAGATTAGAGTGCTGGATGCCTTGGACACACAATGTGCGAATTCATCCTTTTGAAATCTGTATCTTCTGTCTTTATGTAATGAGGAACATTGTGGTTGTGAAAAAAACAAATATTTTTTTCTTGTGGTTCTGTATTTATTTCTCGGAGGAGATGAGAGTTTTTGATTGTGCAGTTATTTTCTCCTTTCGGTATACTTTGCAGAGGTTAGACACACCCCTCTTTTGATGTTTTTAATCATATATTTATGTACAACTCTATATATAAATATGAAGAATCTTGTATTTACCTAGGACTCCTGCACACTACATATTATTGATAATAGAAATACTACAATTAATATGTAAGTTAATCCTTTAAAAAGGGCTTGAGGTGCAATGTTGGTTTTGGAGGTTTATTCCAGTGTTTCAATTTGATATTTTCTAATACATAATATGCTATTTGCAGGGCCACCAATAAAACGCAGAAAGCGACATCGGAGAAAGCATTTCCAAAACCAAGAACCATGTCTAATGAGAGGTGTCTATTTCAAAAATATGAAGTGGCAAGCAGCTATAAAAGTTGACAAGAAACAAATCCACTTGGGCACTGTTGGTTCACAAGAAGAGGCTGCTCGTTTGTATGACAGGTACAACTGCATCTTTGCTAATATGAACGATTTATATCGGATGAGCACTATAAGGAATAGCAAGAATGTGTAGCATATACAAGGTCTTCCAGTTGTGCATAGCCCACTGATAATGATTGTTCCCCTTCAAAGATAACGTATACCAGTTGACATAATTTGAGAACCACAAACCATTTACACTTCTCTTTTGTCTCCCTGGGGAATTCTCTTTATTACGGGTTGGTCATCATGTTGTTACAAACAGTATGAGCATAGGTTCTTCAACGTGTTCTACTCTTTGTTGCACCTTCAAATCAAACAATATTAGTCTTCATTGTTGCTTCACTGGTTTTTCCTGCCCACATTCTTCAGACAGGGTCTCCATTAGATAGGACATGCCATCCTAAATGTTCATTCCAGCCAGTTTTCTGCTAGGCGTCTAAGTGTTCTGTGTCTTAAATTTTCATCAGTATCTTCTTTGTCTTCTAATGGTTAGCCATGTCCTATACTCTCCCATGAGTTTTTTTCTTTTCTTTCTTTTCTGAATTTTGTTCTGCAAGTCTATACTGTATTGTGCCTGCCCTTGCCAATATGATGTAGTAGTTCATGCCACTCCCACAACATGCAAAAACATGAACACAAACATGATAAGCCAAATGGGAAAAGGGGTGTAAGCGTTATGTATAAAATGCTATATTATAGCACATATATAACTTTGTTAGTATTATTTATTTGGATTCAGGGCTGCGTTCATGTGTGGGAGGGAACCAAATTTCGAGCTTTCTGAAGAGGAGAAGCAAGAACTCAGGAAATTCAAGTGGGATGAGTTCTTGGCCATGACTCGTCATGCAATCACCAACAAAAGTAGTCTTTCCTCATGTCTTGTTAAATGTTCCTCAGGCTATATGTAGTTTAACTCTCTCACGGTTTGCTTTCATAAAATATTGCAGAACACAGGAGAAGGCCCGGGGCAGAGTCACACAAGAGGTCCGATACTCCGTTGGAAAATGGTGACTGGGATGACAAAGAAGAAGTAGACAGTCTCTCGGCTTCAGAAGATATGGAGCAGGATATGTTAGGCTCTTGAAGATAATGGTTCAAGGACAATGCTTAATTTTCTATTTCTTAGCAGTTAAGTGCTAGCTAATAGGCCTCCATTTTTTAGTGTATAAAGGCCCACATTAGGGCAAATGGTACATTTGAATGTCTCTTGAGAGGCAAATGCCCCCAATAATTAGTCATAGATTAGAACCATCATTAGTCGCTAATCGCTAGTGGTAAAATAAACCTCTACAAAGCGATAATTCTATTTTTCCAGTGGAAATTTGCAACCTCTTCTAAGTTGTTAATGCTTGAGAAACTTATTTCAAGAAGATCCATATCATCTGTAGATTAATTTATTTATGATTTCTTATTACCTGATCAATGTGATCGCATCCTAAATTTGATTGAGATACTGCTATCACATAGCAATGACCCTGTGGTCCGAAGTTAAGCAATACTTCTGTAGGTCACATTGGTGAAAGCACATGAATAAGAAATGTTATCTCAGTTTTTCTTAGTGTTTCTTTTCTTAAATAAGCCCATTTAGGTTCTTTAGGTTCATATTTTGCTGAAGTTTTCTTTAACAAAAATGTGGTTAGTTGGTTTTTATAAGTGATTATTAAAAAAGTAATTTTCAAAACGAGAAAGATTTTTCATCAACTCTTCTCTTAAAAGACGTTTGTTGATATCGTATCAACAGCAACATGTCGATATTATTGTCAGATGACATGTCAATAACAAAAACGTAATAACGAACCGGTGACTGTACGTAGACGGTGAACCACAAACATTATGAACCTCTTGATTATTAATTAAATTTTAAAAAGAGAATTTATTATTTTTGGGCCAGTAAGAAAAAGAAGAGGACTTTTCTTCTTAGGCCGGTGGAAAAAAAGAAAGGAGATTGACAAGTCCAATTTGACAATATGGATACAATGCGAAATCCCGACCCAGAAACCGACCCGTTTGTGGCGAAACATTCGACCCCATGGCCTGAAGTCCGCACCGCAACACCGCCTCCCTTAACAAAACGACTCAGAATTTTTCGCGTTGAAGACTGAAGTGAACTCAGGCGAAGCTGAAAAAGAGCAAAAGCAATTTCATAGCTTTCATAATAATCATGGCTTCTGATGATCCCAAAGCCATAGAAGCAGAGCCTCCATCTTTGTCTTGGAAGGAGCGCATCGTCTTTCCCACTCTCCTCGCTGGGATTGTTGGTGGAGGAGCTGGTTTGGTCTCCAAGCATCGAAAAGTTGTGGGTCTTCCAACCAGTTGTGCAAGTTATGCTGCTAATTTCGCCATTGTCACTGCTTGTTATTGCGGTAAATTTCATTGCTTTCTGTTCGAATTTCAATCTCCAGCTTCAGCTTTATGTACCCATTTGATTTGATTGGTTACTGTGTGTGGAAATGCCAAATTGGGCATGTCATATGGAAAAAGAGCTGTGGAATTGTAAGAGTTTGTTTAACTTGGCAGGGGCCCGTGAATATGTGAGTGTAACTCGAAAAACTGGACCGGATGATCTGGTAAACTCTGCAATTGCCGGCTTTGGTACTGGTGCTATTCTTGGGCGTCTTCAGGGTTAGATTCCTTCAATCTCTCTCTCTCTCTCTCTCTCTCTCTCTCTCTCTCTCTCTCTCTCTCTCTCTCTCTCTCTCTCTCTCTCTCTCTCTCTCTCTCTCTCTCTCTCTCTCTCTCTCTCTCTCTCTCTCTCTCTCTCTCTCTCTCTCTCTCTCTCTCTCTCTCTCTCTCTCTCTCTCTCTCTCTCTCTCTCTCTCTCTCTCTCTCTCTCTCTCTCTCTCTCTCTCTCTCTCTCTCTCTCTCTCTCTCTCTCTCTCTCTCTCTCTCTCTCTCTCTCTCTCTCTCTCTCTCTCTCTCTCTCTCTCTCTCTCTCTCTCTCTCTCTCTCTCTCTCTCTCTCTCTCTCTCTCTCTCTCTCTCTCTCTCTCTCTCTCTCTCTCTCTCTCTCTCTCTCTCTCTCTCTCTCTCTCTCTCTCTCTCTCTCTCTCTCTCTCTCTCTCTCTCTCTCTCTCTCTCTCTCTCTCTCTCTCTCTCTCTCTCTCTCTCTCTCTCGCGTGTGTGTTTGGAAACTAGTGTGAGAAATGGGGTTTACTTTGCTGTGATCAGCTTGTGTGAACTTTCATCATATGGGATTGGAACAATGTGATAGTTAATGACTGAAATTACCTTGCCTTTCAACCTATAGACTAGTAGCTTGGACTTTTGTCATTCATTTGCAGTGGTTTGTACTGTCTATCTGATCTAACCCCAGCTAATCTGGGAGGGCACTAGTATGTTTTGGCTATTAGGAATGCGTTCTTTGTCCTGTAAAAGAATCACGAATTTAATTTTTTGGATTCTAGTAAGAACTGTGGGCTCAATTGCTGAGCTCTAAGTTATGTAGTCTTGCTTGGAGGAACAGGGGAGTTTCCTGATTCCAGTGAAGTTGAGATATAGCTTAGCTGGGACTTAGTTGCTGGAGTAGAAATGATCCATCCATTGCCAGCTTTGAGCAGGACATCACTAGTTGAGAGACATGTTTCTTTACTGATTGGGCTATCTCTATTGATAGAGCACATACTCTACAGCCGTGGTAGTTCTGACTCTCGAATTTTCCCTCCCAAGGCCTTAAACCTCTTTTAAACCCTAAAATATGTTCATAAGATCTGGATATGCGAGCTTTTGCTCAACTCAACTAACTCCCGGAGTCCTCAAACCACCTGGAGCCATCAACACAAACTTCTTGGCACACAAGTTGTCGTACGTAAAATTGTGGTTGCTATTAGAAAGGGGGTTATATGTTAATTGTCTCCTTAATTGTTCACACTACTTTGAAATCCTGCCTCCTGACACAATGTTGTTAAATTGTTTTGCTCATTGGCATGCAGGTGGTCGAATTGGTGCCGTCCGCTACTCAATCATCTTTTCTGTTGTTGGGACAACAGTGGATTATGCTACAATTAAACTAAGACCTGTCTTAAAGAGCTACAAAGAATCTATGCTTGGGAATAATGACGGTAAGAATGCTGGTTGGCTGAAAATGCCTGACTGGTCTCCTATCAAAGTACTCGATGAGGAAGCCCTTGCTGCAAAGCAGGCTCGTGAAAAACAGATGTATGCACAGAGGGCAGCACTTGGTAACCTTAGCAAAGAAGAGTCCTGAAATTTTGTTAAATGTATGTCGAATTCTTATATATGTCAATAATAATTTTTCTGGGGCATGCTTGTTCGCATTTTTAGTTTTAATTGCCTTTCTGTTTCACTGTTAGTCACCCGTTTTAGGGATGAATTTGCAGTTTCTACTCGCATGTACTGGTGAGGTCTTTTTAAATGTCAAAAAGTCAGATAGAAATATGCAAGTTGATTATTGACTTTTGGAATCAAATTCAAAATCAAAATTCCTCATTTCTTGGCTAAGTGCTGCATTCTCTACTGTGGTGCCCTCTATTTGTTCAACCAACTCTAAAGTCTGATAGCACGAATGTTCTTGCAACTCTTGGCTCGTCCAAGGTGATGCTTATATTCTTTTTAAAAGATGTCGAAGGATTTTTTGGCGAATCCTTCAATGAGATTAGCTTTGCAAATTTGATTCTCTGTACTATACATTCAAGCAAATTTGTGGTTATGAAAATTTCCAAACAAAAAAGAATAAGAAAAAAAAAAGAAAAAAGAATACCGCTAAGGGTTGATGTTGCATGCTGTAGACATCAACGGAAAGAAAAAACCAACTTGTTCCAGGGATAAAAAGTATCGTTACCATGTACAAAAAAAGCCATTAGCCGATATCATTGCTAATCGTTTTACATCTACCCAAGCTGGGGTCTAGAGCTCATATTGCTACTCCACAACTCACCACAATTGTAAACTACATTGTAACAGATCAGCATCAAGGAACCTCCCTGTGATGTCTTACAATTTTATGAAAGCAGAGAGACGAGAGAAACAAATTCCAGCGTTACACGGCCCTTGGACCTTGTGTTGATGACAAAGTGTTCTGGGTATTTCCTTAGCAACATAAGCAAGCCGTACCATGGTTTCCCTTTTGACTCTGGGCCAGGCCAGTCCTCAGAAGTGAGATACCGCCGCACTCGAGTGTGATGCCAAATGCTGCTATACTGCTCGACCAACTGAACAAGAGTGACATGGGAGTAAGGCAGAAATCTAGGGTTTAAACCTCATAGAATTCGAATGACAAAACCAGAATTCAGCACACAGATATATACATGCAAAGCAAAAGCCTAAAACCTTCCAGTCAATGGCCATTGGGAAACAAGTGTAATTTGTACTCAGATGCATTCTACATACATAATCATTAAACAAAAGAAAGATCAATGCAGTTGCTTTCGGTAAGGGAGGAGTATTGTTGAATATTATAAACTAAATAAGAAGTGTTAAATATTTTGTTCATCTGAATATGTCAAGACTAACCTCAGTATGAAGTTTCTCCATAGGCATCCATTCTCCAGGACCACAAAGATCAGAGAGCACTGTAGCAACAGATGACACAACGTCCTTTTCCTCCAAATGCAGAAGTTGCTGATTATCAGTGTCTCGATCAACCCTTGATCTTCCATCTCCCTTCTTCTCTGCAGAGATTAAAGATAAAATTATGTCAAAGAAAGAACATAACAATAGTTACACTTTATAGGTCCAAATAAACAGGCATGTACTGTTTATGATTAAAACTTTTAAAAGGGAGAAGAGAAGAATTGTCAATGCAAGTGCTCAAAATCAGGGAGTAAATATATATTTTGAGTGTCACCACGGTTCAACATCAAACAGATCAATCCTATAACTAGTGTTCATGTAATCCTAGTATTCATGGACACATAGAACAACCTAGAAAAAAAAAACAAGCAATAATATCAGAAAGACGGCCAAAGAATCTACAGTCACAGGTGGAGCTGAAGCTAAAAAAATGGCTTTGAATCTATGGTTTGCCCTGGTTCCTCTGAACAAACGAAAAAACACTAGTTCACAACCATTAGAGGTAAACATAAACCACAAAAATGAGGAAGACAAAAACTATTCCGATAAGGAACACAATGAAATCAGAGAGCAGAACCAGGAAGAAAAAAACTGACAGCAGTAGTGCCACAAAATTCAAAATGCAATAGCATAGCATCTAGGACGAGTGTTGTTCCCCATCGACAACAAGTTCAAAAGTTTCTGAAACAATCTCCTACAGACTATGAAACAAACGGAACAATGCAACTCAAAACCCCAGTTCACAAAAACGCCAATAATTCACAGAAATTCAAGCAGAAATTGGCTGAAGTCAAGACTGAACTTAACATGTGATGGAAAACGCTTGACAATATCATGATTCATATGATTCAAAAAACACGACTTCACATTCCAATTGCTATATCCACAATAAGTCCATTGATTTATCAAACTCTAGGCAAGAGAAAGAAGCTAGAACAGAAAAAAAAAAAAAAAAAAACACTACCCCAAAGCTCCAGCCTTGCCTGCCCCAGACCCCGACCCACCACCATACGCAAAACCCTCATACCCTTCTCTCCTCATCTTCTTCCCACTCCCACTCCCACCACCGCCACCACCACCACCAACATCCTCCTCTGCCTCATACTCCTCCTCATAAATCTCCCTCCCCCTCCCCTTCTTCACAATCGGCTCAGTCCCCGAACCCGAATGGTACCCGTAATGAGCCGGGCCCACGGGGCTCGGCACCGCCACCGAGGCGGCGTAATGCCTGGGGCCCACAGGCCCACCAAGAATACTCCTCACCGGCAACAGAAAATAGAACTCCTTGTCGCCGATCTGAAGAAGGTCTTGCGAGTCGAGCTTGACCGGCGCGTTTCCGGGAAGATGGAGCACGCCCTCGACGAGGCAGCCGTTCTTACCGAGGACCTCGAGCGCGAAACGGCGCCGTGTGAAATCGTAGAAGATTCGCGCGTGGTGGCGCGAAATGTTCATGCCGCCGCCGAGGCTCGAGAGGTCGACGTCCACCGTTGATTTCTTGGAATTCCGGCCCAGGATTATGGAGTAGGTCTGCATGTAGTACTCAAAGTCTTCGCCTTGAAGCTTGGCAAAGCCGGCCTCCACATCGCCGCTGGTCGCCGCCATTGAAATTTTCACAGATAGTGGATCGGAGAAGAAACTGATATATGCCCAAATCCCAATTGGGTTGGGTCTTCTTCTCAATGACAAATGTGGTTTATGGGGCAGATTGTGGGATTTTATTGAGTGACCGGGGTCAAACTAGAAATAAAACAAATTGTTTTCTTGTTTACCGAAGAGTTAATTTTTTGATATTCGCAAGCTTGCCCCTTTGGCTTCTATTTACCCCCCTGAATTTTCTTTTCTGCCCGCCTACCCTAACGAACACTTTCATCTCCTTCGATCTTCTTCTTCTCCGCCAGGAAATTCACGGTAACTCTCTCTACCCATCTCGAAAGACTTGATATTTTTGCTAAAAATCCTTGCTTTCTTTCAAGTTGAGTAGAGTTGTGAGGTTAAATATCTGTCTTTCTTTAACAAATTTATGAGTTTGTGAGGCAAAATGACTATGCATTTGTTTTGGGGAATTAGAGGAATCTCTTATTGGAATTTGGTGCACTATAGATACACTTGCTTTTTGTTTGGGATCTCATATGATCCATGGCTTGACACACATGTTTGCATTAGGGTTTGCTCTTGATTTTTATTGCATTTACAATGAGTTTTTGACTTAAAAAGTGGGCAACGTTAATTGAAATGCCAGTCTGCCAGATGATGTTGGGAAAGCGCAAGGGCTTTGAGTTCCAGATTGCCATTACATGCACTGGAACAAATGAGATGGATAATATGATCTATCCCTTCTGATGGCAGCTAATCAGCAACTATTGCACGAAGTTTACAATTTTACAGTGCTGATGCAGAAGGAAATTCTTCTGTTCTCTCTTCATCTCGTCCTGTTGTGTTGTGAGCAGGGCATTGATTGAAGGTTCTCACACTTTAATTTAATCATGTGGTTGAGTGAGAGCAGTGAGGGAGTGAGTGACCACCGTCTCTTACATCACAACGGCACATCTCCCCATTTGTTAATTTCTAGGTCATTGGGTTGACTACTAGTAGATTAGGTTGTCAAACCCCCAAGGGTGGGAATGAGGGAGGTGTTTAGGGGAAGGGGAGGGCTACTGGACTGCGTTAAGAAAAGAAGTGGGTGGTAAGGGCTTTATGTTTTCAGCATTCATGGGTAGAGAATTCCTGGACAAGCATGGTTGAACGAGTTAGTTGGCTCTAAGGTTTAATTAGATGCAGTATGATCTGCGATTCTTTGATATATCAGTTGTTCCTGTCATGTAATATTGTAATGACTAATGAGTTTTAGATTTCAAAAGCTGGCAACTTTAATTGAAACTGCCAAGTCTACCAGATGATGTTGGGAAATTGCGCAAGGGCTTTGAGTTCCAGGTTACCTTTTACATGCACTGGAACAGTGAAAAGGATAATATGATCTATCCCTTCTGATGGCAGCTATTGATCAATGATTGCACAAAGTTTACATTTTCACAGTGCAAATGCAGATTCATCTGTTTTCTCCCATCTTGTCCTGGCTTGAGCAGGATAATGATTGAATTGTTCTCATACTTTAATTTAAATATGTGGTTGAGTGACCAGTGAGAGAGTGAGGGACCTCCGGCTCTTATAGCACAGCGGTACCTCTCCCCCTTTATTAATACTTAGGTCACTTGCTCTCCTACTAGTCAAGTAGGTAGTCAAACACTTATATAATGGACAGGAATTTTCTGTCCATTAGTAGGACAGCTTTTTCTTTTAGTTCTGAATTTATGAGTACAGTTGAACTGGTTACACTTGCTGTTGAATTGATTGTGTGTGCTGTGTATTATTCTGCTGCATTCTTTATTTTCTTTTTTTGGCGGTGTTGCTTGCATATTTAAGATACTTGTTTCACCATGGATACACGTATGAAATCCACTGCAGACATGCATTGCCTTGTGTTCTTGGTCACAATTCTTTTGTTGCTTTAGCACACTTGAAAGACATTTTATGTTATCAAGCAAGATATGATAGTGGTCCAACTGAGGTGCTTTTTTATCTTTTCACTTATGTTATTTGTAACTTACAGAGGAGTGGGAACATTTCAATATAAATCAATGAAGCATATTGTGAAAATTATGACATTCTTGGTGGCCATCTCTGCCTTGTGGATTGGTCTCTTACAGACATCAATTATCCCACGTAGTCATACTTGGTTGGTGAGTTATTTGTATTTTGGTTGGTTTATGTCAACACCTTTCACTTATTCATGTTATATGATGCTTACTATGCCCTGTTTCTACCTTCTTCCCAGCTACCAATATATTTCATTGTGTCTCTAGGATGCTATGGGCTCCTAATGGTTGGAGTTGGTCTGATGCAATTTCCAACTTGTCCTCAAGAAGCAATATTGTTGCAGCAGGTAGTTTACTTTTCTATTTATTTTCTGTTCAGTTTAGATTGCTAAATCATACTTTTGTTAAGCTCTGTTACACACATCTCTCACTGATTTCTTTTATATATGTTTTTTTTAATGAAATTTCTTTTATATATGTTTTGAGTTTGAGACTTACGCATAATATGGATCCGTCCTGAGCTTCCATTGTCGGCCTTTGTCATTAGACCACTATCTTTTTTTTGAAGTTACTGAGAAAAGCCATGTTTTAAACTCTTTTTCTAATCGTTTTTATCTTCTGTAGGATGTAGCTGAGGCCAAGGAGTTTTTGAAGCAGAAAGGGGTCGATGTGGGTGGTTGTGATTGATTCTGCACACAGAGTTCTGCCTCGGTGTTTCGATACAAAGAAAAGACCTAATTAAATGCAGAATCCATTGAATTCCGCTCATTCTAGCAGTGGTATGGTGGAAGACTTCATAACAGTTCGTTGCTTCCACCTGATGGGAAAATCGGGAAGGTTTTACTAGGTGAAGCAATGAACCCCTTTGGAGTTTTTAACTTTAACAACAAACATTAAGCCTTTTGGCTTATTGAATTGTGGGAAATAGAAAGAACTTTGGAAAGTGTACATGTTATAGTTGATCATTTCCTGTTTATGTCTCAGAAGAAATTTGTATCCTTCGTTCTTTTTGCTACAAGTATACAGGCTTTTATCAAGTGGGACTCTCTCTCTCTCTCTCTCTCTCTCTCTCTCTCTCTCTCTCTCTCTCTCTCTCTCTCTCTCTCTCTCTCTCTCTCTCTCTCTCTCTCTCTCTCTCTCTCTCTCTCTCTCTCTCTCTCTCTCTCTCTCTCTCTCTCTCTCTCTCTCTCTCTCTCTCTCTCTCTCTCTCTCTCTCTCTCTCTCTCTCTCTCTCTCTCTCTCTCTCTCTCTCTCTCTCTCTCTCTCTCTCTCTCTCTCTCTCTCTCTCTCTCTCTCTCTCTCTCTCTCTCTCTCTCTCTCTCTCTCTCTCTCTCTCTCTCTCTCTCTCTCTCTCTCTCTCTCTCTCTCTCTCTCTCTCTCTCTCTCTCTCTCTCTCTCTCTCTCTCTCTCTCTCTCTCTCTCTCTCTCTCTCTCTCTCTCTCTCTCTCTCTCTCTCTCTCTCTCTCTCTCTCTCTCTCTCTCTCTCTCTCTCTCTCTCTCTCTCTCTCTCTCTCTCTCTCTCTCTCTCTCTCTCTCTCTCTCTCTCTCTCTCTCTCTGAATGTCAACAAAAATGTATGTTGGGAGGTTCTCTGTGTTCTGTCATGGTGGCCCATATATGTACCTAAAGGGGCCAGAGGTGTTTCTCCTGCATCCAGTTGCACATAAAAAGGTCTTCCTGCATCTGTAGGATGCATGACTGGGGCTCTGAACCACAGGACGCACTGAGGTCAGTGCACCATGTGGTCCTAGTACCTTCGTGTATGTGAGACCGGATGCAGGGAAAAGATTTCTGAGAGAGAATACTTCATCACTAAAGAGGAATAAAGGCCAAAGTTAATTTTCTTTGTTCTTTTTCTTTTGCTCCTCATCATGAACCCATGTTCATATTTGATCTACTTGATCGGAAAGGACAAAGCAACCAGGCAAGGTGAAACATAGTCTAGCTTTAATTGCCAAAATAATCTTCTTTTTCTCTTTACCTATTGTGTTTATCTATAAATCAGTGATCAGAGGAAGGAGGATGGCAGAGGTATCTATAACTCTTGAACAAGTTATTGAAGATCTTATTAAACAATGATAAGTCCCCCATCAAATACTGTGTGATATGAGAAGTTATTGAGTAATTCGACCTCTCACGTTGAGGTGGACCTATCATTTTGTGTATGAGGGAACGTTACTCCTCGACTGTGAACTCATATTGAATATTATATAATGTCAAAATCACTTTGAAAGTACAAATAAAGGAGATTATTTATATAAACTCCAAATAAATGTTTGATTAGTATTAAAAAATTGAAATCAACAAACTTTTTCAAGCTGGTATACATAATTATTGAAAAAAAATATAAAGGATGTAAGAGACTTGATGATCTTCACATGAATATTCCATTTCCATTTCCATAATAGCACCTGTAAAAGCCAAGACTTATCCCCCAACTTGGTCCCCTCCATTTTTAGTCCTTTAACTATTACTACCTTCCTCTTTAGAGAAGTAAGATATCAGAAATTTGGCTGCAAGTTTTCATTCACTTTATTTTGGCTTAAACGTCAAAATGGTCCTTTTGTTTTACCTCATTGGCCAATTTAATCCCCGTGTTATTAATTTGGCCAATTTATTAGTCTCTGTGTTTGTATATGTTAGTAAATGTGATCCTTTCCGTCAAAATTTTGTTAAAACTGAAAAAAAAATATTTAAATTCAAATAATAATAAAAGCTTAATTATTAAAAGCCATGTTCTTGCATTCTGTAGCTAAGAAAGTTTTTGAGTCAATATTGCCTCCCCCAATTTCACGCACAGACCTTAACCACATCCTAAACACATAGCCACTCTCACACACCCACTTCAACCCCAAAAAGTACACATTGTGTGCTGGTGGTGGAGAATGAAGATGGTTGCAGCAAGAAAATCCGATTGACTCAATAACTTTCTTTGCTACAGAATGCTTTTTAATAATTAAGTTTTTATTATTATTTGAATTTGAATATTTCTAATCAATTTAAATATTTTTATTCTTCAGTTTTAACATAATTTTGATGAAAAAGACCACATTTGCTAAAATATACAAACACATGGACTGAATTGACCAAATTGATAATACATGGACTAAATTGGTCGATGAAGACCATTTCGACGTCTAAGCCCCTTATTTTTACCTGTCCATTAATATTCATATTATGTAATGTAGGGTAGGGGCATAATAAATAAGTCACTAAATATTATTAGTCATTTCATTTCGTGTTAGAACAAACTTGTTTTTATATATTAAAGGAGTAGAATGGAGTGACAATAAAATTTGCCTTTTCTTTTGACCCAAATTCCAGCTCACAAGATTTAACCCAAACACCCTTTACTCATTTCACGTCAGTCTCGTCCTTCTCTCTCTCTCCCCCACTCTCTGTTTTCCTGTTCTTCATAATCATAGCAGAGAAGAATGCAAACCAATGTATAAAACTACAAGCCAAGCCAAATCACAATGCCACACGAGCAAGCCATAGATCCAAAGTTTTAAGCTTTTTAACCAAATAAACAAAACCCATTCAGTCAAATCCTCCAACTTACTCAACCCGCCATTGAAATGGGTGGTCTGAGAGAGTCATGGTGCTTCTGCAAAGGAGTGAGCAAGTCTGAGAAAATGAAGGCCGCCATTTTCTCCAGCAAGGCTCCGGCCATGGCCAGAATTTTCGGCCCCGGAAATGGGATCTCCGGTACCGGATTCCTGATCCACAGAAGCCTCCTATTGACCACCCACGTCAACCTTCCGTCCGTGGCAGCTGCGGAGAGCTCCGAGATCCGGCTGCAAAACGGTGTCGCTGCAACTCTCGTTCCCCAAAGGTATTAGCTTTGATTTTCTTTTTCTTTTATAAATAAATTTTGTATTTTTCTTAGTTACGTGGGAAGTTAAATAAAAGTGAATACTGGGTTTTGTGTTTTGTGCTGATTTGTTTTTGGAACAGTGGAAAACCAACCTGCTGAGTCTTCTGCAATGTATTAGTTTTACATTAGGTGGGCTTTATTTACTTAATTTTCGTGGGTCCCATATGATATAAATTGAAAGTTTGAGTAGTTTGATTATGATGTTTCTACCATTTTCTTATCTGTCAATAGAGAAGTGAAGATGTTGGATCTGAGTGGATCGTATTCATACATTCCCACAAGTAAACTGTTGATTAGGAGAACAACGTGTCATCTAATAACTATTCTATTCAAATTAGTAATAGTTGAATGTGGAAGTCTTTAATGAAGGGGATATCGACTGGGGAGTTAGGAGTAGTGATAATGCAGTATATTAGATGAAAAGTAGTAGGGTGGAGGGAAGGCATGGCTTGGCAGAGATAGAAAGGGCAAGAATTTGGAGGCAATAGCCAGTGACGATAAAATGGAAGAAAGTGCTTGGTAGTTTAGTTTGACATTGGCAAATAATGGTAATTTTCTCTGAAAAAGTCAAAGGAAAAGTTTGGAAATTGCTTTCTCAAACTATAGGAAGCTCTTCTCAAACCCTCTAGAACTGATTTGGCCAGTCCTTCCCTAGGTCATAGATTTTTATTTTTTACCCTCAAGTTGGGTTCCTAAGGCTTCTTTGTGCAATTCACTTGTAATTATGTTGCTTTCTCGTGGATTGGCTCCGCGCAGTGATGGTTTCGTGACACAATCAAATAAGTTAATAAGGAAAGAATGGTAATGGAAAGTTGGAGTACCTAGCATCATGATCACGATGATTCAGGCTTTTCCATTTTAATATATTCAAACACAAATTCTGTTGAATCTGATATACTTGCTGTTTTATACTTGTAGACTAATGGGGAAAGGAAAATTTGGTGACATTCTTCTCAAAAAGCATCAATGTATCATGGTTTCTGGTAGCCTTTGCATTATTAGGCATGTCAAGTTTTTTCTCATTCTTTCATTGAATTGCAGATTTTTCATCACCAGCTCCATTTTAGATCTTACAATAGTAGGTTTGGATGCGGTGGATGGAGATTCAAATGCCCAAGGCCACCCGCACCACTTGAAGACCTGCTCTAAACCAATCCTGGATCTGAGCAGTGTAGTTTACCTTCTAGGCTACACAGAGAAAAAAGAATTAACAGTTGGCGAGGGTAAGGTAGTGATAGCCACGGACAATCTCATAAAATTGTCAACTGATGGAGTGATGTGGAGCCCTGGTTCAGCTGGATTTGATGCGCAAGGAAATCTTGCATTTATGATATGTGATCCTATGAAATTAGCAACATCGCCAAACACCAAATCCTCATCAACTTCGTCATCATCAACGTCATCATGGAAGAAGGATCTTCCTATGCAATTTGGTATCCCCATTCCAATAATTTGTGATTGGTTAAATCAGCACTGGGAAGGTAGCCTTGATGATCTTAACAAGCCTAAGCTACCACTCATTCGATTAATGTCTTCTAGCCAGAAAAGTGAGCACTCTTGTGCGTCCTTCACACAGCGGCGGGTTTTTAAGTCAACTGAAGCTGATAATGATGGAACAACTTCTTCATCAAACACAGTCTCAAAAGCAAGGGACCAGCCTGGACCAAGCTGCTCTGCTGCAGCAAACACTGTTGAAGAAGAGGCCCTAACAAGTGATCCTCATGCTGCCCATGTACAGGGCATTCCTACTCCAGAAATCTATGAATCACCCAAGTTAACAGCTGTTCCTATTAGGAGAAAAGAAGGTTCCCCGATTCAGCTTTTGGACATTAATTTTCCTCCAAGGGTTGCAAAACCAGCAGTTCTGCCACAGCCGACCAAAAAGTTACCACCAAATTCTGATGAGAATTTTGTCAAGGCGCCTCTACCGCGAAGCCCAATAAGAGAAGAAAACCAAATCAAGAACAGAAGACCAACCAGTCCTGACGCTGATGCTGAAATTGCCTCAACAGGTTCTGTAAATGGGGCCCAAAGTGAGGTTCAGTCTAGTTCATTCCCACTAGAAGTTTCAGATATGCAGAATGGGTATAGCAGTGAGGGAGAGACTATGTACTCCGCAGAAACTGCTGAGAGTCGAAATTATACTAGTCCTGCAGAGGGAAAGTTTCAACAAGTGGGAAGGAGCCAGAGTTGTGTGAATTATAATAGATGGGGAGCCGCCCAAAGTAATCCAGTGGCTCGCAGGGCATTGCTAGAAAAGCAAAGGAGCTTTATCCATGGAAGGAAGATGCATTCACAAGGGGCAACTTCTCAAAGGAGCAATGACTACTACAGCCCAACTGTCTCCTCAATCATGAAGAAGCGCAACTCAGAGCAGCCCGTCAGACCCCGGCAAAGTGCTGTTCATTCCTCTCCGAAATGGAATTTCTAAGTGATTCTTGACAAAGGTGATACCTGAAAGTGATTAACAACGAAAATATAGTGTTTTGTGGTGTTTGACTTAACGCCCATTTCTTTCCACTATGGTATAGTGTACAAATTTGTTGTGACTGTGAAGAGACAGATATCAGGTGAATAAGAAAATTCAGCAAATTGTAATTTTGCACGTGAGGAGTCATGTAGTTACTGGTTACATATCATCTATAAAATTATTTTTTGAGGGGGAAAGACCCATGTTGCAGGACGCTTCAAAAATCTGAAGTGTCGGAGTGCCGGATACTGGACTAGACACGGCGATGTCGAAATGATTCCCAATGGCAAGTTGAAATTTTTATTTATTATTTTTTTATAAGTTGAATGATTTATATTTTTTATGGGCAATTGCCATTTAGGGTCTACTTGTATTGCGTTGTAGTTCACCTTTTTGTTAATTACTGGAACTAGCTCTCAGTACGGGTATTTGTGGATTTAATAAAACAAGATTAAGCGCTCTCTCAACCTTAATTTCCTGGTGAATTGGCCTTGACACAGATCACAAATTCAGATAGGAGTTATCTATTATCTTCCGGTAAAATATGGTGTCACAAGTACTAACAAAGCCGTTATTTTGGCCGGTCATGTTCAGACGAGGACATGAAAGATGATTGTTATTCAGAGACAAGCCTGGACAAACAATAGAGGAGCAAAACTAGAGACTACAGATGCTTCTCATTGCACATGTAACTCAAAAGATACTGTCCAACGTTAAAAGACGTCTATGCTGCACTACGGCATTATTCTCAAAAACTACCATGAGCCTGTTCTGATCTCCTAACACTAGCATTTAGTAGCAGATAGCAGCACTGCCAAGCTACGCAATATTGCTAAACAGCTGAGCTAAAAAAGATAAACTCCAGCACTTTATTTTTGACGACAAAGTGATTTGCCAATGATAGTTGATGCCGGACTAGGACATAGCTCCAAAGAAAAACTACAAAATTTTCATTTTGAGATCGAATTATATCAGTAGGACTCCAATGTAGGCTTCACTATAGCCATCTGAGGAAGAGGCAGCGTGCCAGATACATTTGAGGAGAACCAGCCAAGCTTCTCTATGAGTTTGTCAATCAGGTCACCTGCTAAGTAAGAAACACCTCCGACCCCGATCCCAATGGCAACATAGTACAGTAAACTTTTGATGTATTTTGGTGGCTTCTGGGTGTAAGCCTTTCCAATTGCAAGAATTATGATGCATAAAAGAGAAGCCACTGCAACTGCTGCCATCTTTAGGTCCCTGTTGTTGCTCTGACGGAATGAGAAGCTGTAAACCACAGGAGGCACTAACCCGAAAACAATGAATGATAATATAGCAACAGAGGCATGAAGAAGGAAATTGTCTTTTTTCCCTAGTACTTTCTGGTATCTATCCACATGTTCATCTGTCTGACTGGAGGGCACTCTTGATTCATCATTCTTCAGTTCCCAAAGCTGTAATGTTAGTTGAAGATCAGAAAACAGTTAGCTTTGACGCTTTAATTGGATCCAATATTAGTTGAAGATCAGAAAACAGGTAAAATTACTCACGTTATGACCAATGATGAAAAGTCCACCGATCAAGTTTGCCAATGCCAAAGCTAGAATGTTCACTGCAAGTAGATTATACATAATAAAGAAGGACAAACTTAGCAAACTTAAACATCACCATTCCATCGCCCAAAATGAAAGTAGAAATTCTTGATTACAAGCAAAGATAAAATATTATGTATCCCAAGTGCAAGTATCCCATAAGCTTAACAATAAGTTATATGCTAATTGGTTTTTAAGTTGATGTTCACTTGAGAAGACAGAGCAAAAATCATCATGATCAGCTAGATTAAAATCAGATGTGCACTTAGGCTGGGTGATGTAATTCATGTAATCAATGATGCAAGTCAAGAATGGTTTAATTAGATTCATCTTCGAGTGCTTAAATAGCAGAGTAATACCAATTTAATTTATATTACTGTGCTACTGTGGGTTTAAACCTACATGTCTAGTACTTATCAGCCATCTATAGATTGAAAGATCCCAGTAATAATACTTATAGCTACATTATGAAGAATGTCCTACTCTATTAAACAAAGATAAAGCTAAACATGATAATCAAGGCAAGTGAAAAAAATAAATCTTCAAATTTTCAGCTACCCTTATGAAAACATAATAAATTATAAAATACAATACCTCATATATAAAGAATCTCAGGCAGTCTAAAAATCAACTAAAATAGAAATGACTTACATGTTGCAGTATCAGCACTGGCTGCAGATGTCACGATGCCTAAGCTTGTAATTGCTTCAGTTAAACCACCATATACAATGCTTTTGATGATTTCAAAAGTTTTAGTATCAGCTGGTTCAGTTATAATTGTTGGTTCTGGCACAATGGTGACTATAGTACTATCATGAATTTCTGTTTTAGCTAGCCCTGCATCAACAAGCCATCGCCCTAGATTATAATGTAGTAAAGAAGAATATAATATGTTGACAGGGCTTAGAATGAGCCCGTATTTTCTTCTTTGCTCTTCAATTAGGCTCTTGTTTCTTCTGGGAGCTCTCCTAGGTATTTCACTTTCTTGACAGTAGTTACTCCAGCATTAACAAATTTATTTGTATATGAGCAGCCATATGAACATTGGCTACTATACTTATGTGCATGTGAGCAGCAATATAATGATGATGATTATGTAAAGGCAGGTAGAAAAAAACTACTTTGATGCAGAGGACTAGAAAAAGTAGAGGTTGTATAAACTTTTAGTGTCAAACTTACTGTCTGCTTGTATAAACAGGTGGGATTGAATGGTTAAAGCATTTTGTCAAACGCATGTAAAATTGCATTAGTACGTGTTGCATTAATATAATGCTCGATACCGTTCTCATAGATGAGACGATCTTGTTCATACCTCCATCATTTTCTATAAGTTGTTGGGCATCTTCTGAACTGGGTACAGCATCTATTTCAGGTGCTGGGGGCTTGGTGGTTACAACTACACTAACTCCAATTGACTGACCAAGCACTGAAGGTTTTAGATTATGTACTGTTCCCTTCAAGTCATGTGATGGAATTGACGCTTCAACTCCAGCAGTACTGCTCTCAGAATAAGTTACAGAAAGTTTATCCTTTGCACTGACTCCAAAACTAACTTCAACAGCCTCACCAGGAACTGGAGCTTTATCTATTGTTGTAGCTTTACTAACTCCAACTGACTGAGTAGCTCCATTCAAGTCATGTGATGGAACTGGAACTTCAAATCCAACACTACCCTGTAGATTATTTCCTGAGGGCTTAGCTGTTGCAGCTACACTAGCTCCAACAGCCTCATTAGGCACTGGACCTTTACTTACTGATGTAGTTTTACTATTTTGATCTTGTAGTGCTCCATCCAGGTCATGTGATGGAGCTGACACTCCACCTTCAACACTGTTTTCAATATCAGTTCCTGCATCAGCACATCAAATAAGAGGTTAGCCTACTTGATAAGGAGGAAACTTGAACACCTTCGTCATAAACCTTCACAACTGTGTAAAAATAAAAGGGAGAAATCATGCCATGCTAGTATAAAAAAAATGATATGCTCTCTTATAATAAATAGCTTGAGAGTTTCAGTCTTTTAGCTGAAATAACCTTCTTGATTTAGTTTTTAAGATTCAACTATTGGTGTGGAATTCAATAATATACAGAATATTCAATGAAACATGAGCTTGTGATATAACTACACCAATCAGCTTTAGAGAAAAAATTGCTTATGCAAAGTATGCCCAAAATTCTTAAAGAATAGCAAAAGATCACCTTGCTCATTAAGGTTTCCCTCTTCTTTAGGTACCGATTTAGGAGAGAACCAACTGCCTGTTGTATCAAAAGAAAGGTTAAACTATCAACCAAGAACTGGCAACAGAAAATGCAACACAACAAAATGCTTGATTGATAAACAAAAACGTTACAAACGGATAGATTCAGGTTCACAAAAGTTTAACACCAATTACTTTATGTACCATGATCTAAATATATTACATGCATATAAGATTCATATACCTTTACATCAAAAGGTAATCTTTCTTCTTTCAATTATTAGTTAGGCAATTTAACTCCTTTGCCCTTGAAAACTGAAAATGCTGTCAAATTAATATGTGTTCGGTTCTAGCATAGAATGCAATAAACAGAGTTAACATGGAGAAGTACCTGCAGGAATGAGGAAACTAAAGCACGAAGTGCATCTAATCGGATCATCTATCACAGGAGGTGGTGCAGTAGGAGGTACATTTTCCCATTCTCTACCGCGAATAATAACCTTTGTGATGCAAGAATTGCAATTAGGACAGTAGAAATCATGCGCAGCCGGCTTCTCATACACCCTTTCAAGATATAACTCAGAAACTTCTTGTTCTCTTATTTCTCTCAAGTTAACTCCCCCACGTTCAGTCGTCCCATTGTTGACAGAAGTATAATGCCCATTTTGCTCAATTGCCTGCTTGGAGGGTGAAGAATCAAAACTAGGTAATTCTTCACCCTTCATATCATCCACATCTTGCTGGTTGGTAACACTAACAACAACACTCTTTTGATAGCTTAGGCTGAGGCTCTCTTCTTTTACTTCCACTGTTTTATCTCCAGGATTTTTCTTGGAAGTAAAAAAATCAACATTTTCACCATTGAATCCAGAGATCCCATATGGAGATTCAGTACCTGAAATCATACAGCAAATAAAACATCTCATAAGAAGACCCTTGAACTTGGGCAAACACCACCATACAAACATAGTCCACCAACTGCTAGATTAAAGTCCAGAAGTTGATATTTACACTCCTATTGAATCCCCCATACCCATATTTCTGTGTGCATGTTTGTGTAACTGAAGGCTCTTACTTGGTCAATTAAGTAGAACCCATTTGCTTCTTCCTAGCCAATAAAACAATATTTTTAATAAATAAGAGAGAGAGAGAGAGAGAGAGAGAGAGAGAGAGAGAGAGAAAAGAACAACAAGTAGCAGAAAACTAAAACCAACCCAGAATTGTTTGAAACAAAAGAACAACAAGTAGCAGAAAACTAAAACCAACCCAGAATTGTTTGCATTATGATGCATCACTAATGGTAGTTCTTGATGCATTAATTAGTGAATTAAGCTAACAATAATTAATCTTGACTTGAAAGCTGATAAAAGCAAAACAATTAGACCCAGCTGCCATTACAAACAGATCAAAGTAGTGTCTTTTACCTCCATTTTTGCCAGAGATAAAAGTGCCATTTCTTGGCCTTTCCTCGACTTCTTCACCCTCCTCAGCTTCACTAGAAGTCTCTGAGGAAAATACAAAATCACTAGAGACAGTGGTGGAGATTGTGTTGCTTTGCTGGTGGTGAGGCAGCCTTCCTCTCAAAGCCTCACCCACTTCCTCTGTCTCCTCCCACTGCTTCATTGCTTCCATTTTCAGCTAAGATAAGCAGTTTCTGGCTCTGGCAGACACAGAGACAGCTTATTTTCCACACTGCCTTGCCTTACCCTGAAGGAAGCTGTGTGTGTATATATATATAATATATTATTTATTATCACTCACTCTAAATGTGAATTTATGACATTAGAGATTGTAATGTACAAGAATTCAAAGTTTTTGTTTGGGTTGTTGAATGAAGCCAGCTTATGAAGTTTTTGTTTTCTTTGACTAAGGAAGTCAAGCTATGGAGTTGTGTCTGCTAATTAATACAAAAAGTTGAGTAAAAAAGTTGAGTTATTTTCTTTGGTGAACTACAAAAGTTGCGGTTTTTTCTTTTAGAATGGTGCTATTTTCACTCATGTCTTATTTTTCTATCAATCTTATCTTTTTACCCAGTATGTAAATTTTAAAATATATTGTCATATCTTTTCATTCGCTATTATTCTTAAAATACCCTTTAATTATTAATACAAGTAAATTTTCTTTGCTAATCATTAGTAGTTGAGATATGGAGAGGATCAAGTTGTGTTTTATGGACGAGATAAATATTTTAGTCTAATATTTTGATTTTTTGGATCTTTTTTTATTATTATTCTTTGCCTTGTAGCTTCTGAAAATATTGTGGACAAATGTTTTAAAGAGAAATTATTGGTTTTTTATCCTAAGTCATTTTACAAAAAAGTAAATTTGTTTTTAATATTTTGAAAATAAGGTGAGTGGGAATATAGAATAGGAGGTGGAAATAGAAGCACTTTTTTTTAATAGATATGATTTTGTTTTTTATAAGAACATAGACAATTACATGATTAGATCAACTCAAAGTGCTCATAATAAAAAATAAAAATAAAGACTCAAAGTGATTCAATAGAAAATTGGTCAAAAATCACTTTTGGTCCTTGTAGTTTGGCACTTCAACCATTTTTGATACTGTAGTTTCAATTCCGTCAATTTTACCATTATAGTTTCGTATTTGTAGCAATTCAATGACAAGTTAATATCCATCAATTTCTTTAACAATGCAAGGTGCAATTTTGTCAACCCAAAATCCATGAGTGTAAAAGGTCATAAGAAACTCTTCCCATTTCATATTAGGGCTTGAAATTCAACTACTAATCCTAATTTTTGAAGAATTATAAACTCAAATGGTCAATTTCAAGCCCTAATATGAAATGGGGAGAGTTTCAGACGAGTTTTTACGCACAAAGGTTTTTGGTTGATGAAATTGCCTCTTGCACCATTAAAAAAATTAACGAAAATATTAACTTGTCCTTGAATTGCTACAAATACGAAGCTACAGGGTCCAAATTGACAGGATTAAAACTATCAAATCAAAAATGATTGAAGTGCTAAACTACAGAAACCAAAAGTGATTTTTAACCTAAAAAATTCGTTACGCTTTAAGGGTTGAATTAAAGTATGGTGTATGCATATAAAAATATGAGTACTCTGATTTTTATGTGGATTTGATTCCTGAAGTTTGAATTTTGACAATTCTAGTTGAAATTTGATTGGGAATTGCACAAGTTATTTTATTGAAATGGGATCATGGGAAAGCGTGATCTCAGTTAGTATGTTGCCAGGTTGAAATCTTTTACGTGTTAGTGTTCACATGCGCAGCTAAGCACAGATCCCATATGAAATATATATATATATGCAGAAAGTTCAAAGCATTAAATGAAGGGGGCCTAATTTAATTTAATTTCCAACCAAATATAGAAGCTGAAGGTGAAAGCCAACAAAACATGATAGCAACTCTTTGGTGTTTTTGTTCTTCGGTAATTTGTGAGCCACATCATTGTTATCGTACTCCTTCACCTAACTCAATTCCATCTGACAGTCAGATTAATATACAGCACATTCTTTTTTCTTTGAATCAAAAGTCATGGAATAAGACTAGCATTTCTATAGGCTTTTTTTCATATAGAAACCACGAGCACGTAGTTGTTGCAATGGTTCTTGAACTATACCCCGAAAACCCCAAACCCCGGTTAGGGCACCACCCCCCCTCCCATCACCAAACAAAACCACAAACCTATTTGTCAAAGTCTACAGCACATGTGTGACACATGATTTTTTAATATTGTATAAAATAATTTATCTCTCATGTTGACATTGACCAAATAACTTCAGTGGATTAGAAAGTCTATTTGTAGTTGACTAAAATAAATATATTATATGATATTATAGTCGAGTGCAATGTTTCAACACGTTCACATGTTAATCCACATGAGCAAAATGGTAGTTCTATGAAGACCCAAAAATTGTCTCTGGACACCCCTTCAAAAGCTTAGAGCCTGTTAACAGAAGCAAAGTGGGCCATGTAGGGCCCAATATTCATACTGGGCCAGCCCAAAAGAGATTTTGTGGACTAAAGTTTGGAATGTATCCAGAATACGACAGGTCTCCAATGTCGCTCAATTAAACGACGAAATCTAAAACGTCGGCCGTAAAAGCACCGCGGTCCACGTGCATGGTTCAATACTCTGTCACGGTCCACTTGGTCCTCCACTGGCGAGTGGTCTAAAAATTCTAATCCACTTGGCCTTCCGATCGAGTGGCAATCTCGTAATTCCCTCCAAACCCGGTGGCGTTTCATTTTCCCGGGCTCCTCCTCGGTCCCATCGACCAAAAAAAAATTTATAAACCGAAAGCTTCGATTGTCTCGCACAATCTCTTCGTCTCTAGCTGGCTGCTGGGTCTCAAAAGTTCTCAACTTTGCTGTAATAGAAAAACGAATAACACAGAGAGGGAGAGAGAGAGAGGAGATGTTGAAGCTCACAACGTACACTGGGGCGGACCAAATTCATGGCGTGGCCCAATGCCACTCCTTGGGCCCATCGAAACCCAACCCCACTTTCCCTCGCCGGAAAGACGGCATTTCTCTTGTGCCATGCACTTCTGCGCCTTCGAAAACGCTGGTTCTCGCCGTCGTTTCGGACCGGGGGGCCGGGAGTGTGCGCTCGGAGACTGGACCGGGTCGGGTCGAGCATTCGGTTAGCCTGGCGGACCGGTTGAGGCAGGGGAGCTTGGCGGAGGACGGGAAGTCGTATAAGGAGTGCTTTATAGTGAGGTGCTATGAGGTTGGGATTAACAAGACTGCCACTGTTGAGACCATTGCCAATCTCTTGCAGGTGAATTTGAGTTCGAATTTTGGGTTTTGATTCAATGTGGCTCTCTTGGTTTGCGTTTGTGGTCTGGGTTGATTTGAATTTCTTGTGGGAAACTGAAATGTGTGAATTTTAGCATCTGGGTTTGTGTCAAAGTGCTTAATTTGATTTGTTTGGGGCAAATTTTGGGTCTTTTTTTTGTTTTTTTTGTTTTTTTGTTTTGTACTGGGTACTGTGTTTGCTACTTCCCTCACATGCATTTATGAAATTAATTGCATTATTTAATGCTCCAATTGTATAGCTCTCTCTACAGTCATATTACTCAGATGTGATGGTTTGATAAGTCCCTGCAATCGATTCCTCTGGCAATAAACTGAGACATTTCTCTTTTCTTACTGAAATTGTATAAATTGTTCAATGTTAGCTGTGGTCATGTAAAATTTTGATTGCTGTAAGTTACAGAATTACTTGTCATAACTTATTTATTTAAGTATTTAACCACTGTAAGTTTGTGATGTAATTAAGTGATTTTTATTTTAGTTGTTAGATATCTTAGTTGCCTGAAACACAATTGAGGACACTGAATTGGTTTCCTTAGATGATTCTTGTTATAGTATTTTCTGGATTAACTAATTCAGTTGTTGAATTGAGGAGAAACCCTGATTAACCACCTTATACAATTGCTATTCTTCTAATGATTTTCATATATTCCCCTTTGAACATTGTTGATGCAGGAGGTTGGATGCAACCATGCTCAAGTTGTTGGCTTTTCAACTGATGGTTTTGCGACCACCACCACCATGAGGAAAATGCATCTCATATGGGTTACTGCTCGCATGCATATTGAAATCTACAAATATCCAGCTTGGTAGGATTTCTTTTTTATCTTAATGTTCTGGTTTGGATTTCTAATCTGGCAAGTGAATCTTAAAATGATGGTGTGTGATACAGGAGTGATGTTGTTGAAATAGAAACATGGTGCCAAGGGGAAGGGAGAATTGGTACTAGACGTGATTGGATAATGAAGGACTATGCCACTGGTCAAGTCATTGGAAGAGCAACAAGGTGCATATTATGTCTGCTTTTTGTTATACAAAGTTTTTAAGAAGTTCAAGAAAACTTGGTTTAACAATGGAAGCACTGATTTTTCACTTGTACTACATTAAAATTTGTGTTGGAGAGCATGGTGTTGTATTGAACCAACTTCCTCATTCTCCTTTATCTTGTATTTGAGTCTGGCATCTTTCTTAGAACTTGTAAGCATGTATGTACTTGTGGCAGGTCTTTAACTTTTAAGTTACTATCTTCTTGAAGGAAACTCAATTTTTTCTTTCACGGATGCTTCTTGGGCATGGAGATATTTTAGTCTGGCTATTTGCATGAATGTTGCTACTTCAATCTTTGCTCATGTTCTTTTTCTTTTTCAGTAAAGTAATCGTCCATTTTTTAGATTACCTTTGGTTGTTGAATGCTTTCTGTAATTCTGTGTTACATTATTTTAACCAATCAACCTTTGTCAAATTATGGGAACTTATTCTGGGATATATTCCGAAAATTGGCCATTCTGCATGGTTTCAGTAAGTGGGTGATGATGAACCAAGACACTAGGCGACTTCAGAAAGTCAGTGATGATGTTCGGGAAGAGCATTTAGTATTTGCTCCACGAGAACTGAGGTAAGGAGCCCCTTCTTCATTTCAAATGATATGGTTAACATACAGACTTTGGCACACATGCACACACTTCCTCTTGCACAATCTCCTAATTGGTTTTTTGGCATTGGTAGGTTAGCCTTTCCAGAGCCTAACAATAGTAGCTTGAGGAAAATAGCTAAACTGGAAGATCCTGCTCCATATTCCAGACTGGGACTTGTGGTAAGGTTTTTAAATTCATTTGAAGTTCTCAATTTTTTTCAGTTTCTCAGTACGATTTTGAACTTCTCAGCCAAGGAGAGCAGATCTGGACATGAACCAGCATGTTAATAATGTCGCCTACATCGGATGGGTTCTAGAGGTTGGTAGATGTCTCTTCAATTCATAATTTGGTTTCGAGGGCTCTATGGAAATAAATCATCATTGGTCTCACGAATATGTTCTCTTTTTATGACAGAGCATGCCTCAAGAAATCATTGATGGCTATGAACTGCAAACAATCACCTTAGATTACAGGCGGGAGTGTCAACAGGATGACATAGTTGATTCCCTTACAAATGTGGAACCTTTAGAGGATGGTCCAGCTATTTCAGGCTTAGAAGGAACAAATGGATCTCCTGCTGCAGCAGAAGATACAAAGGACTACCGTCAGTTTTTGCATCTACTAAGATTATCAGGTGATGGTTCAGAAATAAACCGGGGACGAACTGTCTGGAGAGAAAAACCTGCAAGATGAGGAAATATCTTATCTCTTGGCTCCACTGGTTTTTTTTAATTTATTTCTTTCCTATATTTCATTGTTTTTGTCCCTTGTATGAGAGATTTTGTTTCCTTGTTGATGTCAATGTCATAATTTTCTTTCCTGAGTTTTTTTTATCACTTCCCAATTGGCCCTGCTACCAAAATGTCATTATCTCTTGCACTGATGTTAAAGTATCGTCAAAGAATATTTAACAGCGTTATGTTGTATCTGTCATGTTAGAGTGGAAATGTAAGGTTCGGATTTTAGTTTGCAAAGGTAATACTTCTGTTACCATTGTTCTGTGATTCTTGCTGGTTTACTTTGAATTGATGCAAGGTTGGAATTTTAGTTACCTGCCTTCTTTATTTTCTTTTAATTATTTTTTTTTATCTCAACTATCTGTTGGCTTATCGAAGACAAAGACATTAGTCGAATTCGTGTGAAATTAACAATGGCATCCAAAGTTTGTTCAATTTTCAAACCCTTTCCGTGACGAAACCATTAGATCCATTGGGAGGGCCATGAGGCATCAATGAAGTTACCAATTCTTGCTACCTATGACCACCAGAACAACCCAATATCATAGCAACAGAAGAAATCCTAGCCAATTCCCATCTTTATTTACTTCTGTCCCTATCAAAAAGAAGCCATGGCCATGGGGGTCCGCAGATTTAAAAACCACAGGGCCCCACTCAACTACTACATTCTATAACGACCAAAATCTCCATGCAGACGCGATTGAAGCCATTCCCAAATAAGTACACAAAAGATGCTCTCATTCTTTAGTCTCACACACTACACCAGTATTTATAGGGGGTAACCTCTACACAATTTCCCCATGCAAAGAAACTAGTGGAAAGAGGAGAGAACCATGAAAATGGGTATGGAAAATTCAAAGTTCTTTCTCATTCTCATAGTATTTGTGGCATTTCTGGTGGGTTCTCAAGGTGTAGGTGACAAGGAAAAGAAAGGGGAGCTCTATAATGCTAAAAATGGAGGGTATGGAGGGCCTGATGGAGGGTATGGAGGAGGGGGGGATGGAGGATATGGAGGGGGGCCTGATGGAGGA